GTATTTGCGCCCCCGAGGCCATGAACCCTAGTGAATTACATAATGGTTGCGTCCCCGAGGCCACAAACCCTCGTACATTACGCCATGTTCGCGTGCCCGAAGCCATAAACCTTCGTAAATTCAGATTGGCCCTTGCGTGAAGTCCCGACATTGCTTCACGTCAGCGTCCAGACATCCCAGCACAGCTCTGGCAAGTCCCATTCTAAGAGAGGGGGACCGGCGGCATGGGGTCGAAGCCCTTACGGATAACATCAACCCCATTCCTTACAAATGCGGGCACGTGAAAGAACGATTGTTCACAACAAATGCCCCTCTCAAAGGACTTGGAACCGTGGGCGCAGCGTGTCTCGTGCTTCTTTGCATCGTGCGGAACGTCATCGTCCGCCTCGTCGCGTCAGGACTCGGTCATCCCCACCGCCTTCGTCATCGTCCGCAGCGTCCGAACTCCTGATTGGCAACGTCGCGAACTACCTCGCGACGTTCACCCTCTGGACGAGGTCACCTGCCCAAAAAGACCATAAAACCCGGGATGTCTGGAGCGCGCTCCCTGGCAAGGAGTTGTGCAATTTCTGTGCGAAGGTCATGCCAAAGACACCGGTCGACATTTCTCAGCGCGTGTACTCGTCTTTCAAGTATGCTGAAAAAGTGGGTGAACACATGATCTTGAAATGACTTGGGCCCACGAGCGCCGTCGGCGAGAGCTTACTAGCGTTGTGGCTTTTTTGCGCGGGATATATTGTCTGGCGTCCAACGATCGCGGGCTAGCAGGAGATTGCTCTGGTTGCGAACCAAAAATACAATTCGCACCCCGGCGTTTCGCATTGACCTGCCCGGGCGCCATGCAAATACCTGCGCTCATTTCACGGATTATATTTCGCAATGCTTTACACGCGCACGCTGGCTGGAGCAAAGCACGTGCACGGTTTGTCTTCGACTTGTATCTACACCACCCGGGCTCCATCTTTCAACGCAACTTACATAAATTATATCCGTGTCGATCAGGACTGTTTCTCTGCGCCTTTCGGCATCTTGGGGGCGACAATGGAACAAATCTTCTAAGATCGCGCGCCGATCGGCGTTTCGTGCAGGTAAATTGGGACATGCCGCCACCATGCGATTCCACACGCATTTTGCACCATGCGCTGGGACAAATGCACTTATGGGCTAAACATCTTGGAGTTCCGACTCAAATTGCAAACCACGTAGAGTACGATATGCGTTGTATGGCAAACTGCTGTACGGACTCGCTCCCAGACAGCACGAAGGCCGCGCGTCGCTCGGCAATTGATGCCATGCATATTGAGCCTTCCGAGGTCTGCGCCCGATCGACCACGATCTTCGCGCGCGTGTTGTCCGCCCGCGTGAAGGACATTGGTGTGCACTTGGAGACAATGTTCTCTCCGCGGCGGAGTGGAGCTGGGCATCCTGCGAAGCGCGTTGGCTTGATCAACGCTACGCGCAAGTCTTCAGCTCACACTTGCGATTAGTACCGCCGAGATGGAAGAATAAGCAACTATCCAGCTTGAGAGAAAATGTTCTTGAACCCGCAACGTAAGTGATTCGATGGCTCTAGACTCCAATGCACAAGACAACACCGCCACTATAGAGAAATGTGCGTACGGCCAGCTTGCCCAACGCAGCGGTACAGTCGTTTGTTACTCGAGCACCTCGTATTGCTCTACGGTCAGAAGACAAATTCTGTTGGACGCTATGGTCGTCAAGAGAATTGTCCAACATCGCGTTCGATCGGTTTGGACTCGCGAGTTCTGTTTGTGAGCACAGCGTGCGCAGCATAGGGGAGCTGAAGAGTTGCCTGGGTCCCCACTCCATTCGCGAGTCGAGGAAAATGTAGAAGCACATAGATGCCAAGATCTCACATACTTTTCAATCCATGCACGTGTTCGGCTTCCCCTCCACTTCCCATATCTTCCTACATCCTCAAAGAAATCGATGTTTCTGTGCGCCTGTGCCTTTTATCCCTCCGGACTCTCTCAGGGCCCGTTCGACGGGGACTCCGAGACACCAGGGCTTCGGCACGCCCGGCCCGAGAAGGCTACAACCGTGGGTCGTGGCCTTCTCAACCCTCCGGTTTCTCCAGGGTCTGGCAGCGTCCTGGCCTGCAACACCTGGGCCTGGGCCTGGAGCCCTGACTCACGAGAATGATGCCATGAAGCGATCGGCTCAAGATGCGTCTCAACCGGGATCAATTTCTATCGGTCCTGGGGGCCGAAGAAGGCCCCCTGAGACAGAAGAAAAGACGGCCCCCTGAGTGACTCGAACCTCCCCGCCTGTCCTGCTGGCCAGAACCAGTGCTGGGCCACCCCAGACCCCCAACTGGCTCCAGACTTCGTTAGACTAGACAAGCGCGTTCCACGACTCGCAAAGCAACTACTCGCAAACGGCCTGGATCCGCCGCGGGGGATCTGCGATATTTCACATCGGGGAAAGAAACCTGTTTTTCGGAAGTTTACAAGTATTGAGGAATGAAAAAACGACCCTACCCTGGGTTACAAGTGCGTGGTCTGTAAACCTCCTGGGAACCCCCAAAGCCTAGAGCCGCCAGGACGCGGCACATCACGCAGGGTTTACCCTGTCAGCCCACAGGAGTTTCAGCGCACAGCGCCTCGTAAACCAGGGTAGGGGCGTTTTTTTATGCCCTTGAAAGTAGGCACTTTGCGAGTAGTGGAACGTGCTCGGTGAAAGAGTAAAAAGACATGATGGACCCACGAACCCGGAAAGGGATATAGACATGTGGAGCATGGACACGTTTTCACGATACCCAACTGGGCAACACCTCACGAAACATCCCACGAGACACTTCACGAAACATCCCACGAGACACCTCACGAAACATTCCACGAGACACCTCACGAAACATTCCACGAGACACCCCGCGAAACATTCCACGAGACACCCCACGAAACATTCCACGACGACAGGCAACCACTCAACCAAGGCGGTGTGGTCGTGCTGGGGAGTGGTCGTGCTGGGGTGTGGTCGTGCTGGGGGGTGGTCGTGCTGGGGGGTGGTCGTGCTGGGGGGGTGGTCGTGCTGGGGGGTGGTCGTGCTGGGGCGTGGTCGTGCTGGGGCGTGGTCGTGCTGGGGCGTGGTCGTGCTGGGGTGTGGTCGTGCTGTGGTGAGGTCGTGCTGGGGTGTGGTCGTGCTGGGGTGTGGTCTTGCTGGGGTGGGGTCGTGCTGGGGTGGGGTCCTGCTGGGGTGTGGTCGTGCTGGGGTGTGGTCGTGCTGGGGTGGGGTCGTGCTTGGGTGGGGTCGTGCTGGGGTGTGGTCGTTCTGGGGTGTGTCGTGCTGGGGTGTGGTCGTGCTAGGGTGGGGTCGTGCTGGGGTGGGGTCGTGCTGGGGTGTGGTCGTGCTGGGGTGTGGTCGTGCTGGGGTGTGGTCGTGCTGGGGCGTGGTCGTGCTGGGGTGGGGTCGTGCTGGGGTGGGGTCGTGCTGGGGTGTGGTCGTGCTGGGGTGGTCCGCACCCTGTGATTTATCGATCGGGTCGTGCTGGGGTGTGGTCGTGCTGGTGCTGGGGTGTGGTCGTGCTGGGGTGTGGTCATGCTGGGGGTGTGGTCGTGCTGAGGTGTCCCGCACCCTGTGATTTATCGATCGGGATTTCAAAAGCAAGCGTTTCGCCTGAGACATCCTCAAAATTTAATCCGCCGGCCTCCTTCGACCTCGATATTTATCAGGGAAAGAATCCGCCGGCCTCCTTCAAGTTGGGCACCGGGGACATGTTTACATACTAAAAGAGAACTCTGGGCCGACGCCCTTTCCGGGAAAAAACGCCACAAACATAAACCGCTGGCGCTCCGCGCGGATTTCTTGGATCTGCGCCGGGCCCCCCCTCCCCGGCGCGGTTCCTCTGATCTCCTCTGATCTCCTCTCTGACCTGATCCGATTTCCTCTGATCTCTTCTGTTCCTCTGATCTCCTGGATTCGTGTTTCTCTGATTTCTTCTTCGATTCGTGTTCCTCTGATCTCCTCCTCCCCTCCTCTCTGATCTGGCGCCTGTCGATGCCATCCCCCACGCCGGCAGCGGTGCGGCGGTGCCCTGCCCGGCAGCAAACAACGTCGGGGTCAGTCAGACCGGCCAGCGGGGGCGCGGAGAGGGATGGTCAGCAGGGGAGGACGGAAGGAGGGATAGGAAGGGAGGAGGACCATGACGAGGAGGTAGGAGAGGGCAGGAGGAGGAGGAGGAGGAGGAGGAGTAGGAGGAGGAGGAGATGGAGGGAAAGACGGGCGAGCGAAGGTAGGAGGAGGACATGGAGGAATGGAGGAGGCGGAGGAGGAAGCGGAGGAGGAGGAGTGGAACTTAGAACCTACCCCGAAGAGGAGGAGGCGGCGTAGAACGTGCGCGCGCGCCCTAACAGCGCGCGCGCACACACAGCGCTCGTCGCGTGGCGAGTGCCGGACCTGCGCCTGCGGTGGGTAGACCCTCAGGCCTTACAGAGGTGGTACGGGACAGCGACGTCGTGGCTCGGGGGGCTCAGCCCTCCGCGCCGAGCGAATTATTAACACTGATCGGGAGGGCACAAAGGTGGGGTAGGGACAAAGGTGGGGTTGGAAGGAAGATCGCTCCGAACGACCCCTGGAAAAAGAAAGCGCGTTAAAAACCGGAGCATCCAGCTGGGCCCGCTTCCCGGCCCCACCTCGGGATGACCCTCCCTCTACGAGCCCCCGAACTCGGGTCCAGCTTCCGCAGCGCGGGGAGCCCAGCGAGCAGGCGCGCCAGCGGGGCGGCCCCCGCGCTGCAACGGAGGCCACGCCCAGCTCCGCCACGCCCCCGCGCTCCAGGGTGCACTCGGCCACGCCCAGCTCCTGCAACGCAGGCCACGGCGGCCGGCCCCTGCAGCAGCCCGTCGGCCCGCAGGCCCTGGCCCCTCCGCGCCAAGAGCGCCGAGCAAAACACCACCACGGAGGTCCAGCTGGCCATCGCTCGGACGTCCATTCCCTGTTTTTTTTTGTTTGGTTTCGTGCGTGGTTTCTTCGCCAAATGATCAAGGATGCTCCTCGATGGTCCTCGCCGAAGGAAAAATGCACACGTCCGAGCGATGCCAAGCCAGTGATGGGCCCTCCTCCTCCCTCTCCTGCCGATGGCAGCGGTGGTGGTGGAAAATCGGCCCATCCTCCAGCTTCCGCAGCGAGGGGAAACCGGCGAGCAAGCGCGCCGACGGGGCGGCCTTCGCGGCTTCCAGCGGCCGGAGACGTCCGCGGGCAGGGCACGCCGACGCCCGAAGGCCGAGGACTACATGTGGCGGTGCGCCCAGGAGGGGACGTCCGACGTTTCCTGATGTTTGTGACGGTTTCCCAGCCCCGGGGTGCTTTCCAGCAGCTGCGCCTCGCCGAGCGCTTTGCGGGCGTGCCCCGATCGCTCCGAACGGGCGCCGGGAGGCCCGATCCATGGCCCGAAAACAGCCAGGCGTCGAGGGAACGGGCGGCCCTTGTCAGAAGGCTCGGAAAGTCCCCGGCCTCCCGAGAAGCTCCCGAGGCTTTCCCCGCAGGTGAAGGGCAACGTTGGGGGGGGGAACAGCTCGGGGGGGGGAGAAACATCGACCAGGAATCGGGAATACATCGTCGATGGATCGGCGAAAAACCCCCGACATCGAATCCGCACCTTCCTGGGCGGGATGGGGCGGGCCATCGGGCCCCTGTCGGCGATCAACGGGCGATTGGGGGGCGATGCGTCCCGCCTGCGCCTATCCCCCGTCGCGTTGTCCCTGCGAGGAAAGAAACGCCTCCTCAGAAGGCTGGAAATCTCACGAGAAGCCCCGCCACTTTCCGAGACGACCAGCTCCCTGTCATTGCCCCCCTCGGTGCGCCGACGATACAACAGAAACCGCGGTGGAAAAAACAGGTGCGTCGAACGTGCCAGCAACCACTCGCTGTGGCATCGAATGGCGAGCGGCGTGAGCTGGCCGGCGCACCTTCACAAGCAATCGCGCACTCAGTCACCGGCGATCGACATTCTATCCATGCCCCTGCCCGCGCCCCGACCCCACGAGCCAGAGCGGGGGGTTGCATATGTCCCTGGCCTTCGAGGCCGCGTCTTCCTGTCCATGCCCGGCTTCCCCTGGGGCCCAGAACGGGGGGCAGCAGCAAAGTATGGATCGAACGTCGATCCCCGAAGCCAAGCCACACATGCACACATACACGCACAAATCACGCGCGAGCGTCGATGCGCCGCGTGGGGCCGCGACAGTCGAGGCCTCCTGGATGGGGTCCGAATAGATGGGGCATGAAGATCCCACCGCATAGCAATTCATCGGCGATGTATCGGCGACGCCGACATGCATATTATCGATCTCCACATCGAGCCGCATCGCCAATGCATCGGCGATGCGGCGCGATGCTCTTACCCCGTCTACTCCGACCACGTTCGTGGGGAAACCAAAAGGTACCCATGCCGCTCCTCCGCGGACCTTTTTCCCCGGATGCGTTCCGGCCAAGATCCCGAAGCGAATCCACTAGCGGCGGCAAGTGCTTCCCAGGAGGCCCAAAAAGGGGAAAACGAGGGAGGGGTAGCGGTGTGACTGCTCTTCCTCTCATCTGACATATGATCATGGTTTAACCGACCCCTGACCTTGCGCCCCTGATAATCGCACCTGGGGGATAAGAAAACTGGGGACCCAAAGAGGGTGAGAACGACGAGGACGTTGTTGTCGACGATGATGGGGGTGCTGATGATGATGAAAGAAAGATCATGACGATGCAGATGATGATGATGCTGATGACGATGATGATGATGATGCTGATGATGATGATGATGCCGAGATCATTGGCCAATGCTCTTGCGTATGCCTCGCCCGCACTCTGCAGATCGCAAAATTGGCCCGCGCTCCGGAGACCCTTGGCGCCCCTCGCCAAGGGGCCTGTCCCGCGAACAATTTCGAAGAACTCGCCCACGCAGCCTCGGCGCCCCTCGGAGCCGCCCTTGCGGGGCAAGCGATCGGCCCGCGCCTGGGCGGCCGCGGGGGCCCCTTCGAAGGTCTCGCGATTTGGGCTCGCGCGCGGTCGGGTCCTTCGTCGGCTGGGCCATGCCCTTGCTCTTGGCTTTGGCCTTGGCCTTGGCTTCTGGATCCATTCGTGGCCTCGAGCGCGAGCCATGGTGATGCTGATGGGCGGTTCGCGGCCCTCGCCTCGGATCTCGCGCAGGGCGCGCTCGGCCCGCCTCGTCGCCCAGAGCCCGCAGGACCAACCATCCGCTCGGAACGTACTGTTGCTGCTAAGAGGGCGTTCCTCGCCAGGGCCGATGGCACCGAGATTTCGAAAGGGCCCTCGTGGCGGCCTGCTTGGCGCTCTCGGGCGGCTTCCTCAGGGCGTCGCGGTGCTCGACGGCCACGCCCGCCCCATGTTTGGACACGTTGATGCATGTGTAGTGCGCGGGGTCTCGGCGTGCACCGCGATCGGCAGGTGCTCGGCTTTCTCGACGCTCTCGGTCCAGCGCTTCTGCTCCTGCTGCTGCTGCTGGGCGGCGGCCCCCCCCTCGCCATGGCCATCTCGAACCCGGGCGACGGCCGCCGCGGGCTCGATCGCCGCAGCGCCTGGAGGGGGGCCCGCGCGCTCGTCGATCTCGCCGAGAAGCGCGACCGCGGCGCCGAGCTCGAGGGCGTCGCCCTCCTTCATCTGCTCGCAGTTCATGACCGCGCACTCCTCGGCAAGCTCGGCGCGCCGGGGCCCCTCGCGCGGTTGCCAGTCCAGCTTCGGCTGCTCGGGGAGCTCCCAGTCCTGCGCGGCCGCGACCTTCGAAGTCCAGGGTTCGCAGACTCTCGTGAGCTTCCGCCCGCTTCCACCTCCTGGCTCCAAGCTTCCGCCAACTTCGGCCTTCGCTTCTGCCGCTTAAAATTGCTTCCGCTGGCGTCCGCTGTCCTCCTCCCTCCTCCCTCCACCTCCCTCCTCCTCCTCCTCCTCCTCCTCCTCCTCCTCCTCCTCCTCCTCCTCCTCCCCCGCCTCCTCCTCCTCTTCTTCCTTCCGCCCATGGACCCCAAGCCTCGCCGCTGTCGATCTTGAAGATCGCCGCGGCGCCCATCTCGTGCACTCGGAGCCGGTGGGCGCCCGCGGAGGTTGGGGGGTGCCAGATGTCTTGGACTTTGCCGCGACCGCCCTCGCGGACCCCCTCCTTGGCGACGCGGGCCGCCTTTCCGTGCCGGGGGGGGTCGCTCGCGCGCTTCGAGGCCCGCCTTCGCCTTGGCCCTGCCCGCTCTTGCGCGCTCTTGCGCGATGAATCTCCTGACTCGGTTCTCGAGGGCGCGCGGGGACTGGGCCTCCTGGATCCGCTCCTCGGGCGGCCTGAGCACATCCTTCTGCTGCCCGGCGAACTCGAGGCCCAGGTCTCGGAGCATTGGGGAGCCAAGGTTCTCGCCCGGCACGTAGTCCTCGGGCAAATCCACGAGGCGGAAGCAGTCGCCGCCCCAGGCGCTCCAGCTGGGCAGGGGCGGCACGTTGTCGGGCCAGCGCTGGGTGCCCCCCCTGGCGCATGCCCGCCGGCCGCGCCTCGACGCCGCGGCCGGGCTCGACGGAGTAGCTCTGGGGCCCCGGGCCCGCGGCGACCGCGAGCTAGCCCTGCTCGGTCGGCTGGGCCGCGAGCGCGCAGTTCGCTCGCGGCCCTCGGAGCGGCGCCGCCTCCCCGTGCTTCTCGCGGAGCGGGCGCGGGCCTCGGAGAAACGCTCGTAGGGCCCCCAATTGGTTGGTGCATGCGCTTCTTTCCAGGCTCGGCCTTCGCCCTCTGCGCCCCGCCCTGCTCGATGGCCCAATGCATCTCTGCCTTGACCTCCCGCGTCGCGGCCTTGGGCAGGCCGTGCTCGCGGGCGTCTGGCCCCCGCAAGAAGCTCGCGGCGTCGGGGGCCGCGGGCGCGTCGACCGCGTTCTCTGGCCGCGCCCGGAGCGCGACGGCCTCGGCCCGCTGGCTCGAGAGGCGGCCTGCGAACGCATGGCTATGGCCGCGCTGCTCCTCGATGAAGTCGATGGCGCAGGAGTCGATGGGGTCGCCCGCCCAGGTCCTCGGCCGCCCCCGCGCGTCACGGCCCCGACGATCCACGCGCGGTCTCCCTCGGGGAATTCGAGCCGGGCGTTGCGCCGGCCCTTGAGCCAAGTGCCAGGGGGTTCGCCTGCTCGGAAGCGCCGGGCTTCTCCGTCGCCCTGCTCGCAGGCGGCGCCGCGCAGCCGGGTGCCCTGCTCGAGGTCCATGTCGCTCACTCGGCAGTGCGTCGCGCAGGGGGCGAGGGCCGCGCCGCGCTGCTCGGCGGACCCAGGCCCCCTGCTCGGGTCGAACCAGCCCTCGGCGGCGCAGATATTGATGAGAGAGATCCTGTGCTTGTTCCCCGCGCTTGGGTTAGTCTGGGCAACTTGCTCGTTCTTAATTGTCGGGGTGCTCTGCGAAGTACTTGGCCTTCTCGGCCTCGAAGGCTGCCCTGTCCTCGTCGCCGTGCGTCTCGCGGTGCTTGCGGCGGAGGTTCTGGATGTGCCTCCTGGCGCCCGCGGCGTGGATCTCGCTCTCGTGGGCGCGCGCTACCTCCTCGCCCCGGAGCATGAGCCAGGGTGCGGCAGCGTCGGCGACGACCGCGTTCGCGTTGGCGGCGAAGGTCCCAGGGCCCCCGAAGAAGAGGCCGAGGGCCTGGAGGCTGCCCCTCGGTGCAGGAACCTGTTGGCCGTGGCCCAGGTTACCTTGGCCTTCTCCCAGCAGGGCGTCTTTTTCTCCTGGTCGGAATGGCGCCGGCCCTCGCGCCCGCTCGCGCGCAGCCTGGGCAGGGCAAACTCGTCGACCCACTTCTGGTCCTTGTGGCGCTGCCTGCTGATCTGGAATCTGGAAGGTCTTCGGGCGCTCGGCCACCCTCTTGAAGACCTCGGCGTTGTAGCTCTGGCGTTTCAGGCGCAGCTGCTTGTCCTGCTCGAACTCCAGCTAGTGGCGCGCCCGCGTCGGGATCGTCTCCCTCCTGGCCTCGCGGCCGCGCTCGCGCCCCCGCTTGATCCGGCGCTCGTCGCGGCGCGCGGCGCCCTCGAGCGGCCGCTGGGCGGTGACCGGACCAAGCGCGCCGCGGGAGAGCCTGGCGCCCTCGTTCCAGCGTGCGCCGCTGGCGGGGCGGACGCGCCCGCGGGCTCGGGGGCCGTTCTTGCCGAGCTTCGCCGCGGCAGCCTTCTTCTCGCGAGCCGCCCGAAGCCCGTGCCATCTCGCGGCCGTCTCGCGGCTCCAGTGCCACTTCTCGCGCAGCTTGGCGTTGGCGGCGCTGGGCAGGCGGGGGAACTTCTCGACGCCGTGCTCGCCGTGGTGCTTTTCCCAATCGAGGGCGGATTGGAGCTTGGACTGCGCTGGCGGGTCTTGTCGCAGCGCGGGGGTGGCTCGCGGCTTGCGCCCCCCCGCGAAGCTCGCGCGCTTCCCCTCGGATCAGCCGCCGTAGCCCAGGCCTCGCTCGACGCCTCGCCCGAGGTCCTGCGGGCCCAGCGCCTTGCCCTCGGTGCTCGCCTGCTTTCGGCGCGCGGCCGCAGCCGCTTGTCGTTCCTCGGGGCGGGGAGAGGCGTGAGTGGTAGTAGTAGTAGTAGTAGTAGTAGTAGTAGTAGTAGTAGCAGCAGCAGCAGCAGCAGCAGCAGTAGTGGTAGTAGTAGTAGTAGTAGTAGTAGTAGTAGTAGTAGTCAGTAGTAGTAGTAGTAGTAGTAGTAGTAGTAGTAGTAGTAGTAGTAGTAGTAGTAGTAGTAGTAGTAGTAGTAGTAGTAGTAGTAGTAGTAGTAGTAGTAGTAGTAGTAGTAGTAGTAGTAGTAGTAGTAGTAGTAGTATGTAGTATGTAGTATGTACTATGTACTATGTAGTATGTAATATGTAGTATGTGATACGTAGTATGTAGTATGTAGTATGTAGTATGTACTAGTAGCAGTAGTCGTAATCGTAGTAGTAGTAGTAGTAGTAGTAGTAGTAGTAGTAGTAGTAATAGTAGTATGTAGTATGTAGTATGTAATATGTAGTATGTATTATGTAGTATGTGGTATGTGGTGTGTAGTATGTAGTATGTAGTATGTAGTATGTAGTAGTATGTAGTATGTAGTATGTAGTATGTAGTATGTAGTATGTAGTATGTAGTAGTAGTAGTAGTAGTAGTCGTCGTCGTAGTACTGGTAGTAGTAGTAGTAGTAGTAGCAGCAGTAGCAGCAGTAGTAGTAGTAGTAGTAGTAGTAGTAGTAGTAGTAGTAGTATGTAGTAGTACTAGTAGTAGTAGTAGTAGTAGTAGTAGTAGTAGTAGTAGTAGTAGTGGTAGTAGTAGTAGTAGTAGTAGTAGTAGTAGTAGTAGTAGTAGTAGTAACATGTAGTATGTAGTATGTAGTATGTGGTATGTGGTATGTGGTATGTGGTATGTGGTATGTAGTATGTAGTATGTAGTGGTATGTAGTAACAGTAACAGTAGTCGTAATCGTGGTAGTCGTAGTAGTAGTAGTAGTAGTAGTAGTAGTAGTAGTAGTAGTAGTAGTAGTAGTAGCAATAGTGGCCCTGCCGCACGATTCTGACTCCGGAAAGGCTGAACAAAAATGAGAACCCCATAGTCCTGGCAAGCGTTCGTGACTTGGGAAAGCTGTAATGGTGAGAGTATCATAGCCCTGCCAAACGTTCGTCCCTTGCGAGTGCTGAAATGGTGAGGCCCCCATTTTCATGCCACACGTTTTCGGTGAAGTTGTTACTATATTGAACGAGCAAAAAAATAATCTAAAACATGTACCTGGACAACTCCCCGGACAACGGACAACCTTTCCAATATGGAGACCGCAGGTGCCGTAGCATGTAAGTTTGGCAAACGCTTGAACAAGAGCACCGTTCCCTACCAGGGATGTGGCTGGCGCGATGGAGAGACCACCTTTCTCAATCAGGGATGTGGCTGGCGCTCAGGCGAGAGCAACACCCAGTGCTCGGGCGACAGCTCACAATGCAACCACCGCTCAGGCAACAACACCACTCCTGTTCAAGGATATGGCCGGCGCTCCAATGACAGCACCGTTCGCCACCTTTCCCCCGATTCCGTGGTAGTCCTGTGTCTGCTCATCCTTTGGTCAGGGCATTTTGGCGCACAGAGTTGCGAGGCTGTCTCAGGCAAAACTGGCTGGATAGCCTCGCGCGCAGCATCTCAGAAACCATAGTTTCGAGGATGTCTCAGGCGAAACTGGCTGGACAACCTCAGGTCAGGACATGCCATCCCCAGGCTCAGAGTTGCGAGAATGTCGCAGGGGAAAGTGGCCAGACGCGGAGGAATGACGAGAAGGCTGAAGCTGAAGAATGAAGAGGCCCAAGAGAAGGCTTGGGTAAGATTGCGCCTGGACAAACCCCCGGACAACCCCCAGGATCACCGGGTCGACAACCCCCCGGACAATCATTTCGAGAATCCGACGTGCGGGGGAAAGGCCTTGTCCTTGTATTGGGGGTCGCCGGTGGCTCTCTTCTCTCGGATCACCTGGGGTCAGGGCATCTCTGAGACCAAGGTTGCGAGAATGGACCACCTCGTGGGCGGCATCTCCGAGCCCAGACTTGCAAGGATATCGCAAGCGAAACCGACCAGAACACCTCAGAGTGAGCCCAGCGTTACAAGGATGTCTCAAGCTAAAATGGCAACACAATCTCCTCATTTTGAGCATGTCTCTGTGCGCTGGTCCCGCGGCTTGAACTAGCTTCTACAACTACAGGGCTCCAGCCAGCCACGCTTCGTGGGGAACAACGATCAGCGAGGATGTGCGAGCGGGAGCGGGAGGACGCGAGAGAGGAGGAACGAACAAGAGGGGAAGGAGGAGAGAGGCGCCATTTCCAGCTGGGCTTGACTGGCTGTGCCATGCTTCTGATGCTATGCATGATTAAGGCATGTGCGTGCGCTGGCAAACCAGCACGGCCTGGACAACCCCGTGGGCAACCCCGCGAGGAACTTGACACCCCCCCGGACAGCCCCCCTGGACAATCCTGCACGGAGTTTCTTCCAGACAACATAGTAGTCAACATAAAAAGATAGCAACTTTCGATTCGCAACTTACCCCCGCGATAGGAAAGTTCGGCCTTGCCGCCCCTGTCCCCCGACTGAATCCGCACTGGCCGGGGATAATCAACTCTCACGGATTGAAAAGGGGGTGCCCTGAATTATCTGGGGCATGGGGTTATTCCCACCAGTGTGGCCTGGGCCCAACTGACCGACCTACCCCCGTAGATGGGGGTAAAGGCTGTTCCCGTCGGTTTTCGAGGAGCATGCAACTGGGTGTTGATGGTGGGACTCGGGATTGGGATAGGGACAGGAATCGGTTTCACTTAGATGCTCATTCTGGGGACCATCCTGGAGCCACACGTTCCACTCTTGCGTCGAAACTGCGTCGAACGTCCGTCGATTCGGGTCGGACCTGAATCGAACCCGAGTCGAACCTGGATCGAACCTGATCCGAAGTCGAGTCGAACTGGAGTCGAACAGACCCGTTTGGTGGGTCCCAGGCAGGTCCCCCAAACGAGCATCTAATTCAACGATGCCGACCATCAACTCCGACCCCACCTGGGAGGCCCAAAGACGCACGGCGCAGGCCACCTCAGGCGCCGGCGCACCGGGCACGCGCACCGAAGCCTCAGAAGCCCTCGAATTGCCGCTGCTCCTCGGGTTAAGTCGGGCGTGCCCCCCTACAGGCGGATTTTGGACGAAAACCAAAAATAAGTCCAAACATATTCAAATAATCCCCCAAAACAGTCAACAAATTGTCCCCAAACTATGTTTAACTATTTTTGAAGATTCCTCCTGTAGAGGGACAGGCCCGACTTCATCCTCGGGGGAGAGGTTGCTGGTGGCGCCGATGTCGATGGGCTCTTCGGGGTAGCCGTCGAACAGGGAAGTGTCGTCCGCGGGCCTGACCTCAGGGCGCGGGCATGGCATCGAGACTCTATGTTTGTTACGGCAGGCTCGCCGCTCCTGTGCGGCCTTCCAGCCTCGGGACGCCTTCCAGCGGCTGCGCCTCGCCGAGAGCTTTTTCCAGGCGTGCCCGGATCGTCCCGGAAGGCCGCCGGAGGCCCGATCTACAGCTCGAAGGCCAACGCTGAAGCGAGGCAGTTGTACCGCTGCCGCTGCGATTTGCCTCGGTTTCGCCTCCTTGGGCCTCCTGGGAGGCGCTCGTCGACACCGCCGGATTCGCCTCAAGATCCTGGTCAGAACGCACCCGGGGAGAGGTCCAGGGAGTGGCAGTTTCAGTGCCTTTTGGTTTCGGAAGCTTCGAAGGATTGAGCAGGGAGACTCAGCCAGAAATGTTCTAAGAACATTTCGTTCAGACCACACAAGGTTCTTAGAACATGCTTTGGTGGTCCTATAGGCGAGACGGGACGCTTCGCCACTGCTTGAAAGAAAGCATGGACCTTCCCAGAAGCCCTCCCGGCTTCTAGGAAGCCTTCTTCGTTGTCTCCAGGCCATTCTAAGAAGGCCCCTGCCTTCTTAGAAGCTGCGCCGCCGTCTTGGGAGGCTACCCTTACGTCAGGCCTGTCCCACTACACCCTACAGGGGGATTTTGGATCAAAAATAAAAATTATGAAACCAAATCCAAAAATACCCAACAAAAAAACACAAAATCGTCCCCAGACAATTGTTTTACTATTTTTGAACATTCCCTCTGTAGAGGGACACGCCCGACTTAAGGCTACCCCCCTCGCGCCATCCCCATTGTGCGCGCCGCCAACGCCAAGACCTGTGGAGCGATCGGGGGGCTGTACATCTTTCTGGCCATCAGGTCCCAATCCACTGACTCAAACCAACTGTGGTCCTTGACATCCTGGACGCCGCCGGCTCCGCTGCCGAGTCGCCGCGCCTTGTCTTTGACAAGCAACTCGCCGATGAAGCTCGCGGCGGCTTCCTTGATATGCTTGGGAAAGACTGGGTCTTGGCCGAGCACCTTCGCGTGGATCTCCTGGGAGCTCTTGGCCACGAAGGGCGAGTGGCCGGCCAGCATCTCGAAGACGAGTATACCTAGAGCCCACCAATCAACAGGCTTGCTGTGGCCCTTGGTGCTGATGATCTCAGGCGCGACGTACTCTGGGGTACCACAGACAGTCCACGTGCGCGTCGGGACTACTTTGGCAAACCCCAAATCGGTTATCTTTAAATGCCCCTCGCAATCAATGAGGGTATTCTCTGGCTTCAAGTCGCGATATACTATGTCCATGCTGTGGAGATGACCCAGTGCCAAAACTACCTCGCCGGAGAAGAACCTTGCAACGACTGGCGACAGTCTGTGAGATTTCCGGATGAGGCGAAACAGTTCGCCGCCGTTCAAATACTCCATCACGATGCAGAGGTGCGCCTTATCCTGAAAACTGCACAGATGCTTAACGATAAAGGGGTGGTCCACCTGGCGAAGCAGCTGAACCTCCTGCATCACGTGCGCCACCTGCTTCCGCCTGATGACTTCGGCCTTCTTCATAATTTTCAACGCGTAAGGCGCAGGATGTAAAAGAATAGCAACTGGTACGAACATAATTGTTCGGGTCTCCGCGCGGATTTCTCGGATCTGCGCAGGGCCCCCTGGCGGCGCCTCTGGCGCAGGCTCTGACGCGTTCCGCGCGCTAGGGGCGGGGGGGGGCAACGCCGATCCAATAAACAAAAATCCGCGTGGAACTCCGAATGGTTATGCTTGTCCCGTTTACTCGTCTTCGAATCGCTACCGTCCCTGAGCTTGACGACGCGCACCGACCCAATGAAGCCAGTGCCCACCGTCCTTGGGGAAACCAGGCAGTACAAATACTGAAGCCGCTACTCCCTGGACCTCTCCCGGGGTGCGTTCTGACCAGGATTTCGAGGTGAATCCAGCGGTGGCTACGAGGGCCTCGCAGAAGGCCCAAAAATGAGAAGACGAGCCGAGGGTAGAAGTATCCGTACCTTTTCCTCGTCTGAAGACTGGCTTTCGATCAGGGATCTTCTGACCCGGGTCAATCCAAACCCGGGTCAACAAGAAACCAAAAAACTGCAATGCAGGAAAAATAAACTGCAACGAAGGTCGAGGGGGTCTTCGCAGGATCCGGTGCCCTGGCTGACCCCCGTTTGCATTGACCCCCGTCTCGAGGCTCCCGATTCGAGCCGTAACTCGGGTCTCCGGCGGCCTTTCAGGACGATCCAGGCACCCCTGGAACGCTCTTGGCGAGGCTCAGCCGCTGGAAGGCGTCGCGAGGCTGGAAGACCGCCGAGAACAGAGAGAGCCTCGATGCATCGGCGACGCATCCGCGACGTCGGCGGCGCCATCGGCATGGGGAAAATCAGGCTCCACACGCGGCGCGACCCTCCGACATCATCTACGCTGACCCCATGAGGGAGGCCCAGACGCAGGCGGGGCAGCGGTATCATCGGTTCCTTTCCCTCCTCTGAGTTCTCAGGACACTCGAGGAGGACGAGGAGGAGGAGGAGGAGGAGGAGGAGGAGGAGGCAGAGGAGGATGGAGAGGAGGAGGAGGAGGAGGAGGAGGAGGAGGAGGAAGAGGAGGAGGAGGAGGAGGAAGCCTCTGCGCCTCGCGCGGCGACCAGCCCTCAGGTGGGCTGCGGACGCCCGCGCAGGCTTACGATTGTCACTGATCGGCGACTGATCGATGCCTCTGTTTTCTGTTGACCTTGAGACGCTTCCTACGCGACCCCGTGACGGCAGAGTCGAAGAGTATCAGCAACGCTGGCACAAGTAGCCAAGTCGGCGCAATCAGTAGCATGATTGGCACAGTCAGCAACGTAGGCACTATCAACAAAATGACAGGTACACTCAACAAAGTGAAGTGCCGAGACAATCAAAACGGCGGAGAATGCGCGATCGTAGAGTACACATCCTCTTATAGCAGCAGCTTCCTATGCTAGTGAAACAAGTAGTTGTTGCGATGCGTCTGAGATGAACACAACGTTGCATCGTACGTTAAATCAGGTGTCCAAGAGATTGGTGCTGCCAAGCGTCACACCGAGTATTCGTAGTCTACCGCCGCCACCGCTTCACTCGCTACGGACGTGCGACTCTACACTTGCTCTCGAAGCAAGTGGTATCAAAACCAATGATATCACCTCTCATGCATACTCAGCTGACGCCGTTGCGCTCGAAACACTTGTTCCCACACCATAAGAGGTCATCGAACAATTCGAGGTCAGTCTGGTCTCCCTGGACACATTGACTCCTAAAGTAACCGATGCTCGATCCCCCGACATCCTTCCTCACGACCTTCCCGACGATCTCCTGCCTGACAGCGACCCCGACGACGACGACAACGACAATTACGCACACGGTTATACCATTGGCGACGAAATCATCCGTGCCGCTGAAAACGCTCATAATTCTGTCGACGACAGTGATAGAGACAAGCCGGCAAACTCATCAGTGCAGACAAATGCTCTCCACACGACAAGGAAAAGCGTTGCTCCTCATAATGATTCGGACGCCGTTGGTACAGCGTAGGAACAACCGGAGGAGGGCCATGCTGATTCGAGTGCAAATGTTCTCTCTATTCAGTGCTCTTGAAAGAAGAAAGAGACACTTTGATGGTTCCAGCGTTGGACGACATGTCCGACTGGTGCGACTTCAGAATCATCCATCTCTCAACGGCACAGAAGACAAAATTGGATTGCTAGACCCACTGACAGGACGATGGCAAATCATCACACGCAGTTTCACCATTCGCGTACAGCAAAGAATCTCGATAATGCTCAGCCGACAGAACATTCATCGAACCAAACTTTTCTAAACGCAGCTCTCAATACCAATACGAGTTTCCCCACGCACTTGATAAGGTCGTCCACGCACTTGGGATGACGTTGTCGAAACAGGCTGTGTGGAGCAACTGTTCGCAGATATCTGTTACGACGAACAACAGTTTGATCAATGCTACAGACTGTATGGCAACTTGCTTGGACGGGCTCCAGAAGTCTCGGATAACGTACAACATGACATGCACCTACATCCCCACAGAGGCTTGATGAGCGGCCTCCCCAACCTCCCCCTTCCTCCAAGCCTGCCCGCTTCTCTCCCCGTCTCTCGCTTCCCTTCTCCTCCCCCTTCTAGTGGGACAGGTACACCCTGCGAAATGCTTAAGAAATCATGGGTTAAGAAATTCGTAGTCTCAGAAATTGAATAAAACCCAGAACTTCTATCAAAATCTTGGGATTTACATTGAAAAGTTAAGAATAATCGAGACTCTGGACGAAAACTTAGGTTTTCTTAAGCATCGCCTAAGGTGTACTTGTGTGTGTGTGTGTGTTGTGCGTGCGTGGTTCGGGGGGCGGGGAGGGCTCTCCCTGCGGCAGGCTATCGCCGACTGCGGCCCGACCCTCGACGAGGGCTGCCTCAACGGGGGCGGGGCGGAGGTGGCTGAGGAGAGAAGTGCAGGTGGAGGTGATGATGCATCCTGGAGGTAGGTACGCGCTTCTGCCTTGCGTGCGGTGGCAGCGTAGAGCCAGTCTGCATACTTAGCAAACGTGCCAAGCAGGTCGCCAATGCACCACATGAATCCCACACGCTTCTCGTACCCTGCTGGCTCTAGGCCCAAACCTTCAGAAAGCACTTGAAGACATGATGCGTTCCTGCAGGTGGGCACGCGTTTCTGTCTTGCGTACGGCGGGAGATCCGAGCCAGTCTGCATAGCACTCGAGTCGTCACTGCACATTCTGTCCCATACTGTAATTCTTGGCCGCGTACCTCACCATAACAGGTATCACAAGTTCAGCGGTGATTCTCACAAATTTAGGCCGCGCAGCTTTCACACTTGTTTGCCCAGCATCTCGCATCTTTACAAGTGGGGGCGGGGGGATCTCTGTGGTGGTGGAGGACAAGAGGATGAGGAGGTGCTGATCGATTCCTGAAGGTAGGCCATGTGTTTCTGTCTTGCGTGCGGCGGCAGTTCAGAGCCAGCTTGCACAACAAGCGTGTCGCCAGTGCACGTCATGAATCCCACTCGGGTCGCGTACCTCGCTGGCTTCAGGCTCGCATCCCAGGAAGGCACTTCTTGTTGGTGGTGATGATGAGAGGCATTGGTGCTGAGGTGCAGCAATTATCTGCACATGCGCGCACATCAGGTTTGTATCTCGAATGCCGTTACTGCCACTGCCCCATCGATGGGCCACGACAAACCGAGCGTTGCGGCATTTCAGCTCTATTTTCGAGTGCGCAGCCTCATTGTTGCATTTCTGCACATTCTGGCGGATGGGGTGGAGTGGCGGAGCTGCGATGAAGGAGCAGGACGCCCAGCTTCACGTGCGCAGGCAAAACTTTAATTCCACTTACTCGCAACAACAATTTGCTGCAGTGCAGCATCTGGCACTCAGAATTCTACTGCCCTCGGTGGGGGCCGCGATACTTTCTCGCATGGGCATCGGTACACTGGCCCACCAGCATCAGCCCGTGTACGGGGCAGTACTGCCCTCGGTGAGGGCCCTTGTTGGGGAGAGATTTGGGTATGGTGCAGGGTGGAGGAGTGGGCGGGGTGGGACGAAGTCGTACGGACAGATCCCCGAGCAGCTGGGCGCAAGGGCCCAGCACTGATTTGCAGAGGCAGCGCAGCAATCCACTTGTGATGAAACCGCTACAACGCATGCCGAGCTGCCAGAGCCGGCACGGCTTCAAGGGCATTGTATCAGTGGCCCTGGCGTACTTGCCTAAGCCGCCTTGAGAGGCACAGCACTGCAATTTGGGGGGGTCAGGGGAGGGGGATTCGCGATTCGATGAGCGTGTCGACCGCCGACGATACAGTACCGAGCGCGTCGACCGCCAGCAGCAGACCCAAGCATGAGCTTGACTTGTCTAGGACCCTCTGTGAGGGCAGTATGGAGGAGGTTGTGGTGGAGGTGAGAATGGGTTGGGGAGGCAGCGCTTTGAACTCAGATGCCACGCGAAGCATTTCGCGCAGACGCGATACTAAGCAGTCGTGGAACTACATCGGCTGGAACCAGTCTTCGGAAGTGCTGGTGATCCTTTGTTCGGTATGTTAGGTGGTGGAAAATGTGGACTGGGTGGAGGAGTCGAAGAAGGATTTAGAGTTAACCCCCTCGGCAGCAGAGGTGAGTGCGTCGACCGCTTTTGCCAGCACAGTCTCATAATACCGCTTCAGCCAGTACAAGTTTCCCTTTTCGCCAGCCCGCCTGACCAACCGGAGCGGTGGAGTTAGAGGTGGCGGAGGTTGCTGGAAGGTGGGGCATCGGCTTGCGTTTGAGCTTGTCTTCATGTGGTTGGCCAGCCGCGTGCGTTTTCAAGCACTTGCCTTCGACGAGGTCTTAGAGGAGGTTTATGGGATGTTTGGGAGGTGGGGTGTGCCATGGCGGTGGGAGCGACGCAAGACCTTCGCGTCAAGGCACCTTCCCCTGGAGACTCCTTACATCCCAGTGGGTGCTTGCGTTACCTGGCCATGCAGCATACTCTGGATGCTCTACTCATTTTCTCATGATCACTGATTCGCACCTCAAATATCTT